TAAGATGGCTTAATTAAGGAAGCACTGTCTCAGTGAAAGTTGAGCCGTAGAGCAGGGAGAAAGAGAATCGCGGGCCAGAGATTTCTGGTCTGAGATTCCGAGACGGGTTCCCACGGCAACGACAACCTGTCTGGCGCAGGCATTTTGCACAATCGTCAGCGGCTGGCAAAATGTCACAACAATTGAAAATAAATTATATATGCAAATTGGATGGCCAATCAATGGAGTTACCATTGAGAAAACTCAGCGTTATAATTCGATCGCCACATGATAAATCTGGCAAGACACAAAGCACCCACTTGGGAGTAAAAAAGGCAGACACTTTTATGGCAAAGCCTTTGTTCGGAGGCTTGTCTTTGGCTTAAAACATTTCTAGCTCCTGTTCATTGTAGTTTTTTTTTAGATTTTATTACCACTCGAATTGTATTTTCTAAGTCTATTTGCACTTACCCAACAGTTTCACACAAAAAATCACTTTTATTTATAATTATTTGCGCAGCAAATTCTATTAATAATTATTAATCAAAGTTTTACGGGGGCTTGTCGGGGGCCAATCTTATATAACACAGGCAGTCAATTGATAATGCCGTCTGCGTAATCTCGCACTTTTTGAACCACGTCTGGAAGGCTTCAGCGCTCCACAATCAATGGCAAAAGCATCTCGTCTCGACTCGTCTCGTCGGTGGAGAAAAGCTACTGAGATGGCGATAAAGTCGCGTGCACTTTAATCCCAGATGATAAGAGGCGTTCGACAAGCGTCGGGAATATGACAATATGAACTTGTGTCCAGGGGAGATAACAGACGTCTATAGATGTTTACAATAATATCTCACCTTTGGTAAGCCTCCCATCTAATTGCTTAAGCAAACATTAGACTTCCTTATAGCTTCTGTACTTAAAAACATAACACTAAGGTAAGGTTCCGATAATTAATAGAGACGTCTCGATATTAGAGCACCATAAAACTCAAACATAAGCACGCAGTGTTCATCAGAAGAGCACGCGTTGGCCAAACTTGATAATGTGCTTACATAATATTTGAAAATTAAACAACATTTAAATAAATCGGGATGTTGATTTATTTGGCGGTTCGATAATTGTGTTTAATCTTTTTAGAATTTAACCAACTGCTATAAATAACGTTTTTTACGTTTTGAGCTAAGCAACTAATTAATGTGTGAAGATAATAAATTGTCTACAAAAATATCATTCAACGCATTCATGATAAATCTTTGGAAAAAGTTTCATGTTTGTTTACATTATATAACATTAGTGATGTACACATATATTTTATATAATAAGGATAATGGAATACTTAACAAAAATCATGATTAACTACTGCTAGTTATTGGATATTTGTTTTACTGAATATTCAATCGCTTATAACTTTGGTAAACTTATTGAAGCAAATAACATTTTAAATTGTTCAGAATGAAAGGAATCAATGCACGTGTGATCTGCCATGAATCCCAAAAACTAAATCCAATTAAAGAGCCCCGTTTAATATTTACATTCGGTGGCCTGACAAGTGGCCTAAGCCGATTGCAGTGTCCTAAATGGGTTGGGCCCCGTACTGTTTAGGCCAGATACTCGCAGTCCCCGAGCGGGGGAGCGGTATTTATGGCCCGGCAACGCTCCAATTAGCACACAAAAGGATTACAGGGGAAATGCCAAAATTCTGGTGCTGCACAGAGGAGCATTCGGCACTTGGCAAGGCCAACAAATGTTTTGGGCCGGCTTTGGAGCGCTTTGCGGTTTTTCTTCCATAATTGCTGGCCAGCACTGAACCAAACCGAACCGAACTGAACTGAGCTGAACTGAAGTGGACAGTGGTCGAGTGGACCATTGGACGAGTGGACGAGTGGCCCTGGCCGCCGGATTGCGAGGAATCCACTTGTGAGCCAGCGAGCAAATCAAGCAGCAGGCATTTAATTTCAAACTGCCCCCCATCCACACACCAGGGCGCAATCAAAATATTTTATAGGTTGGCCATAAAGAAATTCATAAAGCGAACGGCAGCAGCGGCAGCAACTGCAACTCTGCCAATTCATACGAAAATTGCTAACTCAGCGCTCACATATATCATCTTTATGCGCGGCCACGCCCCTTTCAGCTCGTAGTAAATTGACAAATGCAGCGGGCCAAGTCTGTGAGATGTCTTTGCCACTATTTAAGGTCTTTCTCGAGGGGATCTCAGGCGGAGGTGGAGGTGGAGCTGGATGTGGATGAGGACGGTCCTGGCTGGGAGCATCGGAATGAAAAAGCGCACCGAAAACTATGAGCAACGCTTAGCAAAATAAAAGTGCTTGTAATATGAAGTTAAAATCCAAGTAAGGCTATGATGGCAGTACGCCTAGGTGATACTCTACAGTGGAATAACAAAATATTTTCAAAGAATTCAGCTTTGTTTAGGACCAGAATACCAAGTTACAAGGTAGATACATTTTTCTAGTTAAAACTTACCTGTGCTAAAACTCGCTCCCTTCCTGGATCAGCACTTCACACCTGCCAAGTGTTCGTTTGCAACTGCGAAAAATCAATAAACTGACCTTACTATATATAGGGAAAAATTGCTAAACCACCCTTGGAGCAACAACACACCTTAACCTTCCTGTTTACTTATCGAGCATCTGCCTGTCTGTCTCGTGCAATTAGCTACCTGTTCGGGAAAAGACAGATATAGCTGCAAATACGTTGAATTTAATGGAGAGGTATGGCCTATGACAACACATTATTTGAGAGAGAAAGTAATATTATTTAATGGGGTATAAATGCCGAAATAAAATAAGTTGGGTAAGTCCTTTATACTAAGTTGTCAAATAAATCACGAGGGTTTTGAAATCTATAAACAATATAAGTGATTACATATCCCTGGTGTTTTGTGTGGCATCCCGAATATAAAATCATAGTGGTTTAATATTATCATTAGTATGTTAGGAAACAATAATTAAAGAACGTATATAAATATGTTGAAGGAAACTATCATATTTACGGCTGATTAAATAATATATTAATTAAATTGTAACGCTTACATAAACTGGGGAATCTTTTTTTATTTACGAGTCAGGAACAATGTTAAATATTAAAAAGATATTCTTCCTTACCTCCATGTATACCTCCATGAATAGCAAATATATTCTGTATTTAGTAATGCCCCAAATTGGATTGCAGGGTATGGACTGCTTGAAGAACCAGCTAGAAACAAAGCGCCGCATCAACGCTTTTGGCCCTGGTTGCCTTGGCTTTCTACCCCGACCTCTGCAGTCGCCCTATTCCTCTCTAAATCCTCTTTGATTAAGTGCTCAGTCTTTTATGTGGAGATTTTTTAATCGTTACCTCGTCCTCCCGGCGATGCAGGGGGGGCAGGATGACCAGGACCGAGGTCCGAAGGGCGTGCATGTGACCATGCCCCGTAGATTAATCGCTAATCTGTCCCTAGAGGGCGTACTGACATTTTTTAAAACTGCGCACAGCTCAGCAGAGCAGAGCCAAAGAAGCTGCCTCATGGCCGTCCACTTCATCCCGGGCCATTTGGAGATGTCTTTGGTTTTTATTGTCGGACGGCACTTGGCCACTTCCATCATGGCCATTTCCTCTAGAACTCGCATTCGGCCTGCGATTCGCACCTCTTTTTCAGTACCTTTCCTTTTTTGTCCTCCCTTTTTAAATTAATAAATTTAAGCCGGCATTAATTATTATGCTGCTTGGCCGGGCGCCCAGATTAATGTTTTAATTTCGCTGGCCTAGGCTTCGATTAATTTATGCGCGCCCTGTTTGCAATTTGTGCGCCGTTTTTTGAGTAATTTCGCTTGGCCGGGGGCGATAAAGTGCATTAACATGGAATGCGGCTGCCGCTGCGGGCAGCTAAAATTGTTAATTTCGAAGCATAATAAAACGCGGCAATATGTTGCAGTTAAGCCGGGCCCCTTTCAATTTGCCCTAGACGGACGTCCTAATGTGTGTCACATAAATCAACGGTCGGCTCATCCACTGCGGTTGCCCATTTCGGTGGTTTTGGGACCAGGGCCTAATCCCAGAAGCCGGTGGAAATGATGATGAGCGGCCTGCCAACACTTCCCAGATTGATGAGTCAACTGCTCCAAGCCGGGAAGACCTCTGCTCCCTACTTTATTGTATTCTGCGCTCGAACAATCGAAATTAGCGCTTTTATCTCCCCCTAAGTTGCTCACTTAAGTCATTTATTTGAAAATCACTTCGAAGAAGATCGTTAAAGGTATGTATTTAGGTTTATTAAAGCTTGTTAATCTTAAGCTACCTTGTTAAGGCCCAGATTTAAAGTTGATTGGAGGGAGAATTTTGGTAATACATTAGTAATTTGAGGGGAAAACAATGTTGTAGCTAAGGGACTTGTTAAACTCGTTTCGTTAATGAACTGATTAAAATTAAATTCTAAAAATAATAAATATAAATATTTATTTAACTCTTGGCGGAATTTGAATAATACACCGAGGAAATTCTGACGTTCTCATCTGAGTTGAAAATGTTCTTATAAATATAACGACATTGTTGAAGTTGAATTCGCGGTATTTACATTGTATATCTCAACAGATAAAATATTGGTCCAGTCGGTAGTGTTTACTTAAAGTTCTTAAGTAAACTTAATATAACTGTTCTCTTCGCACAATTTGAGAACATTGATACCAAAATGTACTGACACGGTTTTTAAGAACAAATGGTCTTAATTCAAGAACTATGTGTTTGAATATTTCTTTCTTTTTTAAGCTAGTTTATTGACTTAAAAAAAAAAAACAAATTTTCAAGGCCAAATGTAAGAATTATTGAATCGTGTTCGTTACCCTTAGTTGGATTTTATTGTTCCATTGGGGCATCGATTTAAAGGGCCAGCGTACCGAGCGGCCTTATGTTACCTGATTTACGCGTGACGGACACGCAAATCGAGGCGTTTAATTTCCGCTGCCGACAGCCGTTCTCACCGCAGCCTGTCAGTCAGCTGGGCAGCTGTCATAATACCGCTGTGGCAGCCGCGATTCATAACCCACAGCCCACGACCTGCGACCCACGACCCACGACCTACGACCCTCGATTACCGATTCTCGGGCCTGGGGAAGCGGTTACGACTCGAATAGCAGCAGACCAGAAGGTAAATAAACCCCTTGTCAGGGCCGCAGCTTTATGCATAATTAGCTTTTGCCGAGCAAAACTTCGGATCCGTGCAAATGTTGCAAACTTTTAATTTATGCCTAGGAGGTTGGCAGCGGGGTAGGGAACTCCGGCCCGGCTTCGGTTATAGTTTGCCGTACAGTTTGCTCTACATACTGCATAAGCAAACATATTTTAATTTGAGGTTGTGTTTACATTCTGCTCTATGCCACGCTTCAAGTCACACAACACGGCAGCAGGATCTACAACTACAGCAACAGAAACAATAATAAGAACAGGACCTAGGACAACGGAAATAACAGCATCAGCAGGTCCAACCTACACATGGCAACACAAACTTCTCTGACTAAGTGAGTTGGCATTTAAAATGTTTCTAACGTATTCAGTTGAAAAGTTACATTTAATTTGTTTGTCCATAAATGGGTTATAAAAATGTAATTTACCAAGTTGTTGGTGTTCTGACTTTGTGACATAATCATGTAAAAAGTTTGGATTCTAAAACACCAAGCTCAAAATATTAAAAATTAACCGAATTATTATAATTATATTAACAAAGATATGAATTGTGGCTTGATGTACACCAAATACTTAAGATATATATTACAATTTATATTGGAACACTTTTAACACTTGAGTGGTACCATAAATATTTGTATTATATTGATACTTTTCTTGGTATTTAGCCAAAGAACTGACCGAAAGTCGTTAAATACAATCTATAATTTTTTTTTGATCAGTTGAAAATAATTTTATTGTTTTAAAATATCTTTCTCTATATTAATTTTTTAACATGATGCTTTGAAAATTTCCTGAGTATTTTTAAACCATCTACCCAAGGAACTTTTCTAAACCTTTTGTTTGTAGATCAGTGTCACTGTGTCGGCCGCATACGCATTCAGTGCATTATCGCCAGTGCCATATCAGACACAAACATAAATGCAAACAATAATATTTGCTTAAAATTGGCTATGCCCTGGACACAAGGGGGTACTAACCGATATCGGGGGCGGGACGGCCGAGGGCAAAAGAAATAAGGGGCAACATGTGTTTTACATGAGAGAGCGGACTGGAGCCGGGCGACATGTTTGCTGTTCAATCAGTCGTTCAGTTTATGGACCCCTCGAATGCCGATCCCCTCGATGGACCCCTCCATATATGCATACATGCTGCATACTTCATTCTGCATTCTGCTGCCCCGAGTGTGCAACTTCACAGCCTTGTTTACTCCCCAGTTTGTTTTCGCTGCTGCTCGGCTCCGCATTGCGTATACGCCGCGTTTGCCGTGGCTGCCCATTTTGCACCTGACATTTTTGCCCTGCCTTTGCTGCTTTGGAGCTGCAGCAGCACTTTATGCAAATGCAGCCAAATATTGTGAACGGCCCAGAAACTCTTGCCCCTTTTCTCCATACGTGAGTGCTGGCCCCACCTGTATTTGGTATATTTTTTGGTAAAAATTCGAACTACATGGTCGCTTGCAGCAAAGAAACCAGTTCAAATGCCAAGGGTAATGGTGATTTTGGAGAAGGGGTTGCTTCTAGCCAGTTAAACATTTAGCCAGCCTAAAAAAATACTCGTATAAATACCTTTAATCAAAGAGTAAATGACCATAATTATAAGATTGTGCTGGGGTGTTCTCAAATAAAATAACTTATATAATAAGTTTATTTTATGTTGCTTATCTTCTCATAAATTGTGATTAATGTTCTCCTAAATCGATTTTAAATTATCATATTCATAACGAAATGGGGTGATGTTTATTTGACTTTGATTTAGTTCTTTACTTTTTATAGTAATCAATAATATACAATTATGATACCTTCTAGTACCAAAAAAAATGTACCTTAAAAGTGATTTTTTAGGTAATTCTTAACTTGTTTTAAATCTCTTCTTAGGTATTTACTAATTATTAAAAACAAGGGAGAACGCTATAGTCGAGTACCTCGACTATCAGATACCCGTTACTCAGCTAAATGGAGATATGCAAGCAGCAAAGCGAGATTAAAATGCGCCACCTACCGGCGGTATACAGATTTAAGCGTTATGGGCGTTAGAGTGGGCGTGGCAAATTTTTTTTTGGATCAATCGATAGGTATTGACGAGACCAATACATTTCAGTTAAAAATTTTTATCTAGCATGAAAATTGTGGGCGTCACAGGGTTTTGCGGTTTGTGGGCGTTAAAGTGGGCGTGGCAAACTTTTTTTTGGGTCAATCGATAGGTATTGATGAGAACATTACATTTCAGTTAAAATTTTCTATCTAGCATCAAAACTGTAGGAGCCACAGTTTTGGGCGGTTTGTGGGCGTTAGAGTGGGCGTGGCAGTCTACTGAAACAAACTTGCGCTGCGTAGGAAGCTTAGGAATCTGCACGCCAAATCTCAATAGCCTAGCGAGATCTCAGCGTTCATCCGGACAGACGGACAGACGGACAGACGGACATGGCTAGATCGACTCGGCTAGTGATCCTGATCAAGAATATATATACTTTATCGGGTCGGAAACGCTTCCTTCTGCCTGTTACATACTTTCCGACGAATCTAGTATACCCTTTTACTCTACGAGTAACGGGTATAATAACAACATTAATTACTGCAAAATATTCATAGCTGATGTAAAATACTACTTTCTTTCCACTTTCTTAAATACTCAGATTTCTACTTAAGTAAGGTAGACACTCTACAACATGCTCTCTGATCAAGTTATTCCGTAAAATTTGTTTAACAAAAATCCCTTTACGGAAGCTTATTTATTTTCCCACCTTTACTGCTGTTCCGAATTAACTTTCTACTCTTCTATTTACCATAAATACTAGTAATGTCATATGGGTGAGCTGACAACAGATTGGCGCAAAGCGGTACAATACCGCGGATGGCAAAGTGGCCGACAATTATTTAATCCCTTGGCCGTGCAAAATGCATTTTAATTACGCACACGCAGCGAGCAGTGCACTTTAGCATACTTAACAGGGCCACTTGGCGGGATTTTACTGCTCCTGGATGCCGGCACTCTAACTATTCCCCCCAACTCGTTTTTACCCTCTGGTGCTTGTCTTTTCGGTGGCTGCGGGATTTTAAAATGCACATCATAAATGCATTCATTTGTGACACTTGATGTAATTTGTTAGTGCGGTAATTACATAAAAGTGCAATGGCCAAACAATCACACACTTAAAAGCCTTTCCCTGGGGAAAAGCGCCGGAAGTGGGGGTGCGGATGGGCAGATTGGGAGCACTTCCGGTGCATGCGTGTGTGCGAAATCGCATTAAAATTAATGTAATTTACAACAATGACCATTAACTTAAATTAGCGATGAAATGCAGTGGCTCCACTGTGGGTGTGGAAGGGGGGATATACCCGCACATGTCCTTGCGGCATGTGTGGCATGCAGTCACGTGCAACGCAGCCCGGCATTTTGGCCAGTGTCCCGTTGTCGTTGTCTGGTCAGTCAGCAGCCTTTGTTTTCAAACAGGCGCCAAGGAAACAAATCATTTGCACACACAGTGGAGTCCTGGCCCCCTGTCCCCCTATCCCCCCTCTACAGCCCTGCCCCGTTGCCATGGCCAACAAATTAACGACCATAAAGCGATTTCCAGCGGGTGGCCATCGGGGGGCAGGGGGAAATTTACGAGGCAGCTCCACTGTCTACTGCCGCCCCAAAAATTATAGCGGACATAAATTGTTAAATGCGAAATCCTTTGATTTTAATTACGCCGAGAATTTTTATTGCCAGACATGCGGATGCCGAACTCGGACTTTCGCTGCTTTTTCCAGCTTTTTCCAGCTTCCGGTGCTCCTTGCTGCTTTGCTCTAGCCAGGCAAATTAATTTTAATTGTGGTTTGGCTGACGTAATTAATTGCAAGCAAAAGAAGGCGAAAGCCAAAAAGAAACTCATCTAAAATATGCGCCGTGCTCGACGGCCTATCAAAACAAATCAAATGAAACGCATATTTCTGCTTCAATTAATGGAATTAATTGAAATTTAATGAACTTAATTGTTATGCGGCGGCCGTTTACTTACCTTACCATACTTTTTTCCACCTGCCTTATAAGGAAAATATGCAAAACGGAAGAACGGAAATGACTGCCAAAAATGGCTCCGAATCGAAATCAAAGGCGGCGGCAAAGTACTCAAAGCATTTCCTGTGCTGAAAATTTAATAAAGTCCCCTTCGAGGCGCAAAGACAAAATGGCCACGCGCCTGTCAACGATTCCCACAGGAATCCCCTGGCAAGGATCCTCTTTTCGCCCCGATGTCTTGGCATTTATTTGCTCACCCCCATCCCCTAGAAAATGTAAATCCTCCCCTCGGGTCGCAAGCATTTTTCAATTTCTTGTGATTTTTAGTATGGCCCAGCAAATGACAAAGTCTCAACATTTTAACAACGTATTATGGCTAAGCAGGATAATAACACTTGGACTTCCTTTCCGTCCTGCGCGAGTGTGTGTGATGGTATCTGTGCACCGAGTGTCCTGGCGAGTGTGTGTGTGTAAGTGTGCAAGTGCAAACAAAGCTGAAATAAAGATACTTCCGGGCCGTGACCAGTGACAAGCACTTTAGCTGCGGCCAGCGGACAATGGAATCGGAGCTGGGACCCCAAGCGATTGGAGTTGGCAGCTCGGAGGATTTTCAGCGCGAATTTGGGGGGGAATTCAGCCAGAATTTTATTAGGAAATTTACAAGATCTTAGGGTAAACAGAATATGTGGAGCAGTTTTAATAATCAGAAACGTTCCCTTAATAAAAAATAAAATCTGAATGGCTTGTCTATTAATACAATCTAAAAGTGTAGCAAAATAAGTGGTTCCCTTTAAAATAAATAGATATATAAACAGGTTCAAGAAAAATATATCTTAAGTTATAAAAATATCATGGGTAGAATGAAAAATTGTAAATATTTACAGAAAATTTAGTAGATAATATTAAAATAAACCATTTCTTTAAATTTCAGTAAATTAAAAAGAAAATCTGAGAAGAAAATAAATAGAAATATAAACAGGTTCAAGTAAAATATATTGTAAGTTATAAAAATATCATGGGTAGAATGCAAGATTGTAAATATTTACAGATAATTTAGTAGAGATAATATTAAAATAAACCATTTTTTTAAATTTCAGTAAAATCAAAAGAAAATCTGGGGTCTAAGAGCTCTGGTCATAACCAATTGGATGATATTTCCCCTAAGGTTAAAGTTAAATATATTTAAAATTATAAGCATATCATAGGTACAATGATAAGTTGTAAATATTTCTTAAGTAGAGACTCTATTTTTATTAAATCTTTTTTTTTAAATCTCTATAAATTAGAAAGAAAATCTGTGGTCTAAGAGCCCTGGCCATTTTCTAATTTGTTGATATTTCCCCTAAGTTTATTGTTTGGCTTCTTTGTGCTTAACTTTTGTTTGGGCCAGCGAAATTCGTGGACGCCAACTTGAGTTGGCCTGGCCGTTTGTTTGAGTTGGCCGGTGTGTGTGAGTTTCTCCTCCATTTTTTTTTTATGAGCTGCCACGAGGATGCAGGACTTTGCTGGTCAACACTACACAAATTGTTGATGTGACCGGGTCCCGTGTCCCGTGTCCTTTGTGTGTGTTTGTTGTTGTGCGTCGTCGTCTTCTTCTAGTGTGTTGTTTGTTGCTGGCTCGTTCATTGTGTTTGCGCCATAAATCGCTTCCGTTTATGTTTTAGAGCCACACAATGGCCAACGGGCCAAGATGAGGGAAGCTGGAGCGGGAGGGGATGGTCAGAAGAGGAGCCATCGTCCTGATCACAAGCGTAAACAATAAAGTTTAAAACAACTAAGCAAGATACAAAATGTTCTACGGAATTTCATTTCAGACCCATACAGTGGAAAAAGTCAGTGAAATCATTTTCACATACTTATAAATGTAAGTTTTATTTTATATATTATATAAAAAATTGAAGTATCGTAAAATAATTTGGTTCAAAATGTTGGTATTTATAATGTATACGAGTTTTGTTCATTTTTTTATTATTTCAGAAAGGTGAGTACTCATTTTTTTATACTTATACATTTTAGTTTTACCTTAAGAATACTTTATATAATTCGGTTATTTCAAAATTGAGTGATTTAAAATATTCGGAATTAATTTGTGGGTGTTTTAATATTTTTTAATATCCTTTAACCTTTTTAAAATTTTAAAACTTTGTAAGATTTTTAACTGTGTGAGTTTGTTTCCTGATTTTCCCCTTATCCTGGCCCTCTGTGTGTGTGCTTTATAGCCATGGTTTGCTTCACGCTCTTGACCATGTGACCAGCTAGCCGTGTCAGTCATTTTGAGCGCCGTTCCGCTTTTGTGCCCCCGGAGAAGAACAAATCTCATCTTTGTGTTTGCCCTGTCTCAGTTGCCCAGTCCCCTATCCCTCTCGCTCACACCTCCTCCGTCTCGCTTGCTCGCATTATCATTGTCCACGCCCTGGACCGGCATAAAATAAGTTAGTCCTGGGCAAACGTCCTGTCCCCGGACACGCAATGGCCCAGCTCATGTTGACTTTTCCTATTTTAAGTCCGTTTATTTCTTTTACACTTGCTCCATCTTTTCGCCCTGCCCCGCGCAACCTCTTCGCTGCCCTTTGACCCCAGCCCGCTGTTGTAGTTGGCGGAAAAGTTTTCCACTCGCCTGCCAAGTGGCAGGACACAGAGGAGCAGCAACAATGCCGTGGAAAATTGTGTATTGCATTTGCTTAGCGAAAACTTTTAATGATCCGGGGCCGTGGAGAAGGGTTTCAGGCCAAACCGGATCCAAAATGGTATCTTTATCGTAGCAGTAACTAAGTACATGGGAGTTTCTTACAAGATAATATGACTAATTAGGGGATAATCCGCTGAAACTTGGATTTGCTCCCAAACATATATCAAAAATCGTTTCAAAAATGAAGAATCTTTTATAAAAAACAATCAGATATGATATTTGGTTAAATGTTCACGGAGTATAATATAATTTTCCTAAGTAAGTATTGTAAATGCTATTTTTATCGAAGCAGTAACTAAGTACATGGAGTTTCTTACAAGATAATACGACTAATTAGGGGATAATCCGCTGAAACTCGGAGTTGCTCCCAAACATTTGTCAAAAATCGTTTCAAAAATGAAGAATCTTTTATAAAAAACAATCAGATGATATTTGGTTAAATATTCAAGGAATATAATATCATTTTTCTAGTTATGTATTGTAAATTGTGATGTACTTCTTGTATAATGACAGTAATGCCTCCTAATATTAATAAAAATTTCCTTAAAGCACCAGATCGCACGTCAGACCCAGTTTTTATTTTCGTAAAGCTTATCACTTGCCCCTGCCACGCATTATTTTGGTCTTATCGCCTCTTACGCAACGTTCTAATGTCTTTTTGGGGGCTAGGCTCGCAAGCTATTTCTATCTGCGTCGGGTTGTCGAGCATAATCGAACTAATCAATTTGCGTAAATAAACTGCTCACGGTTTATTATCGACTAGGTGCCACGTGCCGCGCTCAGTGGCGTCCCCGTGCGACATAAATCTTTATTTACAAAAGTGTAAACAAAAATTACTCACTCACGCGCATTCACGAGGGAAAGCGGCAAAATGGGAAATCGGAAAAGTGGGAAAAGTGGGAAAATGCACGGAGAGGAAGCGTGTAAAAAGGCTGAAATGCGAAAAATCAACGACTTCGTCGTGGGGATAACAATGGGGGCTAACCTCTCGAACCCGAACTCCCCATCGGATGTGAGGGGGTGTGCGAATTAGCATGTGAGCCGTTACAAAGGCCACCCACTCGGGCACAAAGCCACCCCCTTCGGAGCCTGCTAATGGCCCTCCCGTGAGTCTGATGCTCCCGTTGAAAAGTCAACGATTGCCGCGCTGCGGAAATTAACGGAAAATCAGCAGCAGCGCACAAAGAGAGCGAAATGTGGGTAGGCGAGCGGTACAGGATAGACCCGCTAAGGCAATCTTGGTAATGTCGCCAAAAAATATTTCCTAAAAACGATGCTGCCGTTGTTGAAAAAATTAAAGTGTATTTTAAAGATATGTTAGTTAAAGGTTCATTTAAATATAGTTAACTTCCCTTTTGTATCCATATAAATTTAATTGTTAAAGTTCTTCATATTAAAATATTGTTGGGATTAATATT